AAAGAATACCAAGTAATTTTTCACTTTAATAGAGAAAGGATCAAGTATATTTTCAAGGGTGAGTTCTCAGTACTGAAAAATCACATTAAGTAGGAGAAAAGAGAGTCCAGATCTGACAAGTCATTAGGAAGTCATTAAAAGAAATTAAAAGTGGGTCAGGAGTCACCATCAGATGGAAGAAATTTATAAAGGTCAGTGCTTGCCAGATGTGTCTGTTGGGATCACCTGGTGAGCAGCCACAATGACAGGCTGAAATACCTGTCATGTTTTAAGGCATGGAAGTTCAACTTTCAAAAGACTCCATCTAGCTTTCCTTGGTCATGATTTAATAAATAGATTAATAGATATCAGAATTTTAATTCAGACCACTGCTTAATCTAACCCTAATTTGGTCCTCAATGGCTTGAGTTTAAAGAAATTCCTTAAATTAACCTTGAATGTTCATAAACCAAATCAAAAAGCTTCACAGAAGGTTCTGGTCTGGGTAAGATGGAAAAAGGACATTCTACTCACTCTACTCTTTCTCTCCCATGGGACAAAGCTGTAAAACCTGGGCAGAATCCATGGAGCAGCTATTTGAGGACTATGACAGACTCTAAGCTGTCCCCAATAATCCCTTCCTCCTGGTAAATTCACACCCTTGTGTCATCCCTCCTCTTCAGCATAGGCTGGTTCCAGCAACTTGCTTCTAATCAATTAAATATGACAACAGTATTGGGATGTCACTTCTATGACTAGGTTATAAAAGATTATGACTTTCTGTCTTACTATTGGCTTCACAGCTTGCATGCTTTCAATGAAGTAAGCTGCCATGTGGCAAAGGACTAGGGGAAGTCTCTGGCCAAAAGCCAGCAAGGAACTAAGGCCCTCCATCAAACAGACCATGAGGAACTGACTCTTGCCAACGACCATATGGGCTTGGAAGTAGACCCCTCCCCAATCAAGCCTTCAGATTACAGCAGCCCAGTCAACACATTATGTGCAGCAGCTCACAACAGATGCTGAAGTAGAGGGCCAAGTAAAGCCCTCTAAGGGTTTCTGCCCCACAGAAACTGTAAGATCATAAACATGTGTTGTTTCAAGCCACTAGGTTTTTTTTGGTAATCTGTTCCACTGTAATAAACAAGTAACATGAAGACTCTGAAAAGCAGATAACAGAAGACAGACGAAGGAAACAAATCAAAGTTTGAAGTACCACTGAACTGGCAGTGAATTTACTTTTTATGTACAGCAGTTCCTCCAGACCAGATTCAAGGAAGCAGAAATTAAAATTAAAACCACCATGAGATACCCCTATATGTCTATGAATATGGCTAAATTTGGGTGGGGGCGTTCAGACAGTATCTCACTCTGTCACCAGGCTGGAACATAGTGACACAATCACAGCTCACTGCAACTTCGACTTCCTGGGCTCAAGTGATCCTCCCACCTCAGCCTCCCAAGTAATTGGGATTACAGGCATGTGCCACCCTGCCCAGCTAATTTCTGTATTTTTTGTAGGGAACAGGGTTTTGCCATGTTGCCCAGACTGGTCTCTAGCTATCTGCCTCTGGTCTCTAGCTATCCGCCTGCTTCAGCCTCCCAAAGTATTCGTATTACAGGCATGAGCCACCATGCCCAGCTAAATTTTTTTCAAAACAATATCCAGTGCTAGCTAGAATGTGGAGCAGCTCGAACTCTAACATTGTGCTGACAGGAATGCAAAGTGGCACAGCCACTCTGAACAAGAATTTGGTAGTTTCTTATAAAGTTGAACATGTACCTACCATATGACAGCAATCCTGCTCCTGGGTAGTTATTCTAGAAAAATAAAATTTTCTATTCATGCAAAAAAGTGTATACAGGTTCATAAGGTCAAACACTGAAAACAGCTTAAATGTCCTTCAATGAGTGAATGGATATACAAACTGTGGGACAACCACACAATGAAACGCTGCTTAGGAATAAAAATGAATGAAGCTAATACACACAACCTGGATGGGTCTCAAAGGCATTACTGAGTGGAAGAAGCCAGGCTGAAAGGGACACAGACAGTTATATGGCATTCTCAAAAAGACAAAACTATAGTGACAGAGAACTGATCAGTGGTCACCAGGGGTTTTATGGGTGAGGGAGGGAAGTGACTACAAAGGGTTAGCAAAAGGGAGTTTTGAGGGGCAGGTTCTATATCCTGATGATGCTGGTGGTTATGCTAATCTATCCATGTGTTAAAATTCACAGAACTGGCTGGGCACGGTGGCTCATGCCTGTAATCTCTTTGTAAGTACTTTGGGAGGCCAAGGCAGGTGGATCACCTGAGGTCAGGAGTCCGAGACCAGCCTGACCAAAATGTGAAACCCCATCTCTACTAAAAATACAAAAAATTAGGCAGGCGTGGTGGCAGGCGCCTGTAATCCCAGCTACTCAGGATGCTGAGGCAGGAGAATCCCTTGAACCCGGGAGATGGATGTTGCAGTGACCTAAGGTTGTGCCATTGCACTCCAGCCTGGGCAACAGAACAAGACTCTGTCCCCACCCCCCCAAAAAATTCACAGAACTATACTTTAGGTTGGTGCAAAAGCAACTGCGGTTTTTGCAGAGATATGCCCATGTACTACTGGAGTCCAGAAAGAAATGAGCTCGACCTGGGAATGCCAGGAAATGTTTCATAGGGCATAAAATATGCAGAAAGGCATTCCAGGGAATATGGGAGCTTGTTATACTTGAGATTGGGGGATCGAGGGAGTACAGAGCGAAGGTTGGGAACATTAACCTGGGGGAGGTAGGCTGGTGCCAACTGTGTGTTCTTATAAATTACGGCAAAGAATCTGGACTTCAATCTATCAGTCAGGGATTGTCCTTTCAAATGCTTAATGGGCTGGAGCAGATAATACAAATGACTAAAGCAGCCTGGGTGGAAACCATGAGACACTATAGCAAGTTTTTGTCTAAATGAGGTAGCTGCTACTTACTGGTAGCTCCATCCTTGGCTGCTATCCCGAAATTGCAGCCCAGTGTTGCCTGATGCAATTTTCCAAGAGAAGCTGAAGATAGTTCTATGTCTGATCTCCTTATTTTTAAATGTTAGCATGAGTATTTTTTAGTAAATTTAAGAAGTCACTGATTACAGGGTGCATTGCTGTTTTATGTACCAATAAGAGAGAACACCACCACTGATCAAACTCTGACACTCTGTCCATTTCAAGGCACATCCCAATATCAGAGCTGCTAAAATGTGAAAAAAAACACGCATCTTAGAATCAACAAAATACAGTCATTCTCATTTTATCAAAACGCCGTATCGACTGCGTGGATTCTGCCTAAAGCTGCCAGATTGCAAACTCTTGTTTAAGTCAAGGGGAGCCTGAGGGTAAGCTGATTAGATTCAAGCTGCAAGAAGATCACTCTAGGGATCAGATGGTGATGAATGGGGAAAAGCAGGTAACAGAAAGACCAATGACGAGGCTCCTGCAATAATCCAGGTGATACATGGTAAGGGCCGAATTAAAGTCACGGCAACAGGGATGAAGGGTAGGGAAGAGCCAAATGTAAAAGGTTTATGTAACAAACCCTACGGGTCCCAGACTGCGCGTGGAGAGTGAGAGAGACAGAGACATCAAGGAGGATTCCAAAGTTTTTGGTTTGGAAGAATAAATGGGTTCATCATTTATTCAACAATATTGACTGGGTGTCTACCATGAGCCAGGCACTATGCTAGGCACTGTGGTTACAAGGGTGGACAAGATAGACATGGTCTCTGCCTTCTTGTAATTTACAGTCTAGAAGATGATGCTATTCATTGCAATAGGGTATTAAAGGGTACAAGAGTCAGACATGAAGTGGGACAAGTGAGTTTATGGTGGAGAAAAATCATAAGTTCAGTTAGCAGTGTGCTAAATTTGAGTACTTGGGAGACCTCACTGTTGAAATATCCCATAGGCAGTAACAGCCTGGGTTTGGAGCTCAGGAAATAAATCGGGACTGGAGAGTCAGATTAAAGAGGTCATCAGGTTGCTGACAATAGCTGAAATGATTACAGAAGATAAAATAGCCAGGGAGAGCTTGCAGAGTAAGGCTCTAGAGGCAAAAGCAGAACACTGGGGAATAGAGACATTAAAGAGAATGAAAAGAGGAAGGAGCCAACAAGGAGGCTAACAAAGAAGCAACCTGGAAAGTAAGAGGCCAAGAACTGAGGGCTATCTGTAAAGCAATGGAGACTACTGTATAGTCTACTTAGACCTGCACCTACAATTACTGCCTAGAAGCAATTTGCCTTGGCCATGTACAGTTCAGACTGTCAGAGTTATGGATGTTTTGCATGAATTCCAGATAGGCTTATCAGAACTGCTTCTAATTTAGAAAGCTAGGATATTTTTAAATATTGCCACAATCTGTTCCTTTATCTTGTATGTGCTTGTGTTTTGCATGTATCTCAGACTGACATCTAGCATGAGTCAATGTAAAGCAATGGTAATTCCTTATTTTTTCTTCTTTTCCTTCTGCGGGAGTTATGATTTGCCATTCCAAGAACAAAAGTAAAACAAAGAATACACATTTATGCAACTACCTCTCATGTCAAAGCACTGGGAATTGGGCAAAACTGATCTAGGCAGAGAATGCAGTCACACTGCAAGACCATCATGAGGTTCTCTGCCCAGAGCTCTGGAACCGGTGAGCCTGAACTGTGGTAAGATACTCTGATCCTTTGGACTTGTCCAGAAAGTCCCTCAGACATCTTCATTTTATAGGAGAGAAACCAGGCCCAGAGAAGTTAGGTGGCCTCCCCAAAGTCACAGTCCTATGACTCAGTACTTTGATATACTTTTTCCAGTATATTAAGGCGACCCAATTCCACCCTACACATATCTATCAAAGCATAACAAACTTCGTACATAAAACATGAAGACCACAAGAGTTGGGCTAAACAACTAAACAGACAGAGGCAACAGGTTAACTTTCGATCACTGTCCCATGCCTACCCAGATCACATTCAATCCATCTGGTCCACTAAGTGCTCTTACCTTTCCCACGAGGTTAGATTAGATCCACACAGGTTCAAGAGAGGCAGACTCCCGGATCTTCATTTGTTGGTTGCTGACTCTTTCAGCCCGACCGGCAGGCTCACAACACAACCTTCATCACACAGGTCTTACTGAAGATGGTTGCTCAGTCTCATCTGGAGTCTTCAACAGGTAGATTCTAGAATGATTAATAGGTTGCCTTGGTGACCCCACAATGGATGATGCAGATATGACAACACCTGCCAATGGAATGTGGACAAGATGACCTCGATGAGAGGACTATTTCTTGCTTATTGAAAGGCACATTCCAGTTTTTTGCCACCATTGCCTCCCTGTCAACCATTTTTGTGTTCATGAACACAGTAAACAAAGAAAGGTTTGTTTCTTGGAGGAATGTTGATAAAACAAGGCCTGGGCCAGGTGCGGTGGCTCATGCCTATAATCCCAGTACTTTGGGAGGTCAAGGCAGGTGGATCACCTGAGGTCAGGAGTTCGAGACCAGCCTGGCCAACGTAGTGAAACCCGGTCTCTACTAAAAATGCAAAAATTAGCCAGGCATGGTGGTGGGCACCTGTAATCCCAGCTACTCGGGAGGCTGAGGCTGGAGAATCACTTGAACCTGGGAGACGGAGGTTGCAGTGAGCTGAGATCGTGCCACTGCACTCCAGCCTGGGCGACAGAGTAAGACACTGTCCCCCCTCCCCAAAAAAAAAAAAAGAAAAGAAAAAGAAAAAACAAGGCCTAGAAAATATCCAGAGCTTTATTTTCAAAACCCTCACTATTACTGCCTCAGATGACTAAGAGTTTACAGAGAAGCCTCCAGAAAAAACTTTTAGAACATTTTCTTTTGTGCACTTATTCCTGGCATGGTTTCATTCATATATTCATTAAGTAAATATTTGTTGAGCATCTATTATGTGTGAGGTACTGTTCTGCACCCTGGGGATATGCCAATTAGCAAAACTGATAAGGTCTCTTCCCTCCTAAAGCTTATAGCCTAGTAGGAGACGTAACTATTAATTAAATCATAAAAAATAAATGTGAAATTGCAAAGGACAAGTATTCATTTTATGGGAGGGAGTTGGGAGGTCGAGCAAAGGCTTCTCTGAGGAAGTCATCTTTGACCTGACAGCAGAAGGTTGAACATGGATTAATCAGGTGAAGGTGCTGATAAAGGATGGAGTCACACGTACACTTGAGCTAAGGCTTGTGACCTGGAGTAGCTAACTGGAGGCTAGGATTTGGGGACTTTCAAAGGAGAATCCAGAGTTCAATATAGGCTTAATTTACTAAAGCCAAAGCTCTTATTTTCACCAACATTCAAAGAGTGCACAATCTGTCAGTCTTACAACTCACGTAAAACTCTAAAACAGCACTTCTCAAACTTGAATGTACTTACAAGTCACCTAGCGATCTCGTCAAAACCCAGATTCCTGGGCCCAATTCCTAGAGGTTCTGATTCAGTAGGTCTGGGGTGAGGCTGTGAAGCTTCATTTCTAATAAGCTCCTAGATGAACATGAAGCATACTTTGAGTGGCACTGCTCTGTAACACAGTACTGTTTTTTATTTTTTATTTGTTTGAGACAGGGTCTCACTCTATAAAGAGTGAGCTATGATCGTGCCCAAGCTGGAGCACAGTGGCATGATCATAGCTCACTGCAGCCTCCACCTCCAGGGCTAAAGTAATCCTCCTTGCTCAGCCTACCAAGTAGCTGGGACTACAGGTATCTACCACCACACTCAGCTAATTTTTTATTTTCTATGGAGATGGTGTTTCACCATCTTCTCCAGGTTGGTCTCAAATTATTGGGCTCCCAAAGCGCTGGAATTACAGGCGCAAGCCACCACACTTGGTCTTATTCATTTTAAGGCCCCCCAACCATTGGAATGGACTTCTTCCTAGGCCAGGGCACTTTAAATTTTAACCTAAAAGACGGGTTCAGGCCATGATGAGAAACAGGAGTTGGACGTGCCTCATTCTACCTCCCCAGCATTAATAGCAACACAGATCCTAGGTCTGATAAGAAACATTTACAGGGCTGGGGGCGGTGGCTCTCGCCTGTAATCCCAGCGCTTTGGGAGGCCAAGGCGAACAGATTATGAGGTGAAATTCGAGACCAGCCCGACCAATATGGTGTAACCTCGTCTCTACTAAAAATACAAAAATTAGCCGGGTGTGGTGGCAGGCACCTGTAATCCCAGCTACTCAGGAGGCTGAGGCAGGAAAATTGCTTGAACCCGGGAGGCAGAGGTTGCAGTGAGCTGAGATTGTGCCACTGCACTCCAGCCTGGGTGACAGAGCGAGAATCCATCTAAAAAAAAAAAAAAAAGAAGAAAGAAAAGAAATATTTACAGTCTATTCTCTCTGAAGCCTGCTACCTGAAGGCTTCATCCGCACAATAAGAACTTTGGTCTCCACAGTCCCTTAACCCAGACATTTCCTTTCTACTGATCCCAGGTTTTTGGATAAACTCAGCCAATTGTCAACTAGAACATTTTAAAATCTACCTATAACCCAGAAGCCATTCCTCCTCCTCCTACTTGATTCAAGTTGTCCCGCCTTTCTGGACTGAGCCAGTATATTTCTTTCTTTTTTTTGGAGACTGAGTTTCACTCTTGTTGCCCAGGCTGGAATGCAATGGCTCAATCTCAGCTCACCAAAAATTCTGCCTCCTTGGTTCAAGTGATTCTCCTGCTTCAGCCTCCCAAGTAGCTGGGATTATAGAAATGTGCCACCATAACTGGCTAATTTTGTGTTTTTTTAGTAGAGACAGGGTTTCTCCATGTTGGTCAAGCTGGTCTCGAACTCCTGACCTCAGGTGATCTGCCTGCCTTGGCCTCCCAAAGTGCTGGGATTACAGGCGTGAGCCACCGTGCCCAGTGAACCAAGGTATTTCTCAAATGTATTTGATTGTGGTCTCATGCCTCCCTAAAATGTTTTAATTCTACAATGTTCTTGCAATTTTTATGGTTTACTCAGTAGTAACACCAAAACAGAAGAATGTTGTGATATGTAAATAAAACAATGCCAAAAGCTAAAGATTTCAAAGACTTGAAAAGAATGAGGGAAATAATAGTCATAAGCAAACTGAGGTGTCAGTAACGTAGTGAAACTTCTAATTTATCCCAGTGCAATGGGCTGTCATTCTTAGTCAGTGACAAGTTCAATTTATGAAATCGTTTTAAAGAAAAGTAACAAAGTAATCTGATGTAACTAATGACAAGAAATGTCTATATGTTTAATGACTCTTTAACAGGTCAATAAGAACTATCTATAACTAACACTTTCATTTTCTGACAGAGCTCTGGGTTTTATATGATGTGAGAGAAAAACCACCTCCCTTTCCAGGTCTCCGTTCCTTCTGTCATAGTTCCCACTGATGTACCACATTCCTGCTGGCGGGCTATGTGAAAACATGCAGGTGAGAGAGCAAAGATTTCTCTTTTACATAGAGAAATGGTCTTCCTGAGAAGGTTATGAAGTTAATACAGCGCCTAGAGTGAAATATTGTCATTTTAAAAAACTAGAAATGAACTCCTCTGTGCAGAGAAGAGTAGGAAGATTAAGAAAGGCAAACAGGGGTAAGTTTTACAATTTTGAGGGAATATCAGCTCTGCCACTTTCAACCTGAGGAACTTAGGCAACTTACATAACTCCTCTTAAATGAGTTTCCTCATTTAAAAAATGAGAATAGGGCTGGTGCAGTGGCTCACACCTGTAATCCCAGCTCTTTGGGAGGCCAAGGCAGGCTGGTCACTTGAGGTCAGGAGTTCAAGACCGACCTGGACAACATGGTAAAACCCCATCTCTCCTAAAAATACAAAAATTAGCAGGGTGTGGTGGTGTGTGCCTGTAGTCTCAGCTACTCCAGAGGCTGAGGCACAAGAATTGCTTGAACCTGGGAGGCAGAGGTTGTAATGAGCTGAGATCACGCCACTGTACTCCAGCCTGGGCAACAGAGTAAGACTCCGTCTCAAAAATAAATAAATAAATAAATAAAATAAAATATATTTCTAATGGGAATAATTTAAGTAGCAATCTCTTTGTAAACTATAAAGTGCTAAACAAATATTAGTTGCCATTTCTAGGAGAAGCCTGCATTTCCTGAGTGGATATACATCCTAGAGAAGAAATGTGGTCTGCTCAGTGGGTCAGGATATGTCTAGGAACATAATAGAATTAGGTTCTAGTCAGCTTGCTTGGGTTCAAGTTCTTGCCCCAGCACTTAACAGCTCTGTGTGAGCCTGGGTAAATTACATAGCCTCTCTGTGCCTGTTGCTTCAACTATAAAACAGGCTAGTGATAGCACTGATCACACTGGGTTGATGTAACGAATTAATGGGTTAATACACATTGTAGCAGCCACTGATCATGACTGTCCATTTCCCCTCTTTTCCTAATAAAACCCCAGTTTTGTTCTAGGTGGCAGTGTTCAGCCAACAAAACTTGATTTGCTAGGCTCCCTTGCAGCTAAGGGTAGTCATGTGACACAGTTCTAGCCTTTGAGATATAAGCAGAAATCTACAGGCTGAGGCTTCCAGAAAAGCTATTTTCCTGATACAAAAAGAAACGACTCAGCTGGCACAAGCCTCTTCTCTTTGTCCTTCCCCCCATTTGCCTGGAACCAGGATACAATGCCTGGAGGAGGAGCAGCCATCTTGTACACACTAGGAAGAAAGCCTCACATTGAGAATACCAAAGTAATGATGCAAGAGGATGGAGGGACGAGCTTGAGACCTGGATGACAATGTGACACTGTGCATCTCCTGGCTTTGTATCATGTGGGACGAAAACCAACCACTCTGTGTTAAGCCCCTGCTTCCATTTACCTTACTCCAGGCAGCCAAACACATTCTCTAAGCAATGCAACTGTAAAGCAGTTTGGTGCCTGGCTCAGAGTATTCAGTAAATGTTAGCTATTATTATTATTAGGCCAGCATTCTGTTCCCTAACCAGGTGGCTAGCAAACAGTCCCCTAAACTGCCTTGTAACAGAAGCACAATTTTCCTTTTTGAAATCAACCCTGCTCCGTTTTTACCATGTGGTTTGTGTTGGATTGATGCAGCCCCCGACTCTAAGTGTGGGCCCCGGCTGACTTAAGCCAATTAACAGAGCCCGCTCCCCAAGCCACAGCAACTTTCCAGGAATAAGCACATAACTCAGGCCTAAGACAGCACATCTTCTTCTCCTGGCAAAAAGGAGTGTTTGGGGTGGGCACACAGCTAAAGAAAGATAATATGAGGGAATCTTGGGGTACCTGGAGAGAGTGCTGGGACAGACTCACTCATCTTCCCCTAGTGTGGTGCTCTGAGCAAGGCGTCACTATGAAAAGAGCCAGTCCAGGGGGTGAAAGTGATACATGGAGAAAGGCCGACCAAGAGAAGGGTAGGGAAATGAGCACAAGCCCTCCATCCTAAGTCTCTGGATCAAATCTTACCTTTGGAATTTTCAAAGCAGATTCGTTGGAAACTGGTTTTGCTAGCTCAGTTTGGGTTGGATCTTCTGCCACAGGCAACCACAACATTCTTTCTGATACTGTTAGATGAAAAAAAAATAATAATTTTTCTGTAAGGACTACACGCCTGCAGAACTTTCCAAATCCTGGTGTAGTACGCCTATTCAATGAAATCTATAGTCCGGCACAATATAAGTTCACATCGAAATCACCTTTCTAAAAGAAAAAATGACAAGATCCACAATCAATTTGCAATTGTGTGAATTCATTTAAATTTCCGAAAGAAAAAAAAAGTCAGCAGTTGAAAGTGTTTCGTCTTTGTTCTTTTTGTAAACATGTCCAGGAGAGGTCAATTAAGAATAATTGTGTATTCAGGCTTTAGAACACTGAGCCCAGAGGCAGACACTGGAAATGTATGACTAATATTGAAATAATATTCACAGACAGTTGTCATGGCAGCCTGCTCCTTCTGCACAAAATAGAACCCACTGCATCTTAACAGGATTTAGCAGAGGAAAACTGCTAGCCTGCAGATAGCCTCTAAATGAGTTAAACTACCTACTAATTGGTTTTGCTTTCATTACTGTAGATGGCCTTCAGTCTCTACCCTAATTGTATCTAAAAGATCTCCAATTCTTGAAATCACTAGTAAAAATACACAGTATGATTGGAGTTTAACACCTGCACCACTCTTGAAATCTTTCTCAGACTGTAGAGAACAGCTTAGAGGCAAGTCTTATTTGTGCCCAGCTGAATCCATGTGGAAACCTAAATCAGACAGTAAGTGCTGTGGAAGTCGAGGGAGTAACCCATTTTATTTCCATCACCAATTAGCACTGGCTGCTATCAAGCATTGCCTTTTAAATGGGGCTCTAGAGGAGTGGGCAGTAGTCAAATTGTTGTTTTCAGTTACCTAGTCGCAGGGGAGTGACTTTAGAAACTAGGCACATCTCTGCTAGGTGCGGTGGCTCACACCTACAATCCTAGGACTTTGGGAGACTGAGGTGGGCAGATTACCTGATGTCAAGAGTTCAAGACCAGCCTGGCCAGCGTGGTAAAAACCCCATCTCTACTAATAATACAAAAATTAGCAAGGTGTGGTGGTAGGTGCCTGTAATCCCAGCTACTTGGGAGGCTGAGGCAGCAGAATTGCTTGAACCCGGGAGGTGAGGGTGCAGTGAGCTGAGATCGTGCCATGGCACTCCAGCCTGGGGAACAGAGTGAGACTCTGCCTCAAAAAAAAAAAAAAAAAGAAGAGAAAAGAAAAAAATGAAAGAAAAAGAAACTAGGCACATCTGAAGACAGGTAAATAAAAGAGGGAGAGACAAAGCATTCTAAGCTGATCTGTTTCTCTCTAGAGTGGCCATCTCTAGGAAATCTAATCTCATTGAAAGTGATTGCAGGTGACTGTGAAGGTTATAGTCAGCTGGTCTGGAGAGGTATACCATATGAGGCCTTCTTTCCTATTAGACAGGTTTTTGCATATCATCCTGCCTACCTCTCGTCGGCCTTCTCCTTTGTCAAGTATCTTCTTTAAGAGAAAGGAGACTGGGCCCAAATTCAAATCCAATAACATCCTACATTAGGAAAATCACATCAAGCCATTATCTTCCATTAATATCTTGGAAGAAATGAGTCCTTTGGGCTAACTCATGTTCTTCAAACTTCTTGAGATTAGGCCATGTCATACACTTTTTTTAAAAAAAGTTCCGACACATACTGCAGGCATTTGATAATGAACAACTTCCATCAGGGGACTGGAACACAGGGCAAGCCCTCGGTAGCTAGGAGGCAAATTAAAGACATTTAATTTGGTACAGGAGACAGCTATGACTCAGCAACGTGGAAAGGTTCAATCAGTAGGCTCTGTATTTTTCCTCATGTAACAAACTTCCACTAAACAGTAGCATTAAAAATGAGGGATGTTATTGCTCATTTCACAAGGAACCCAGAGTAGGGAATCTGGGCTGGGACCCAGGCACCTTCCTTCCTTCAGCCAAGCCATGCAGCTTTCTTCCCAACTGTCAACTACCGGCCACAAAACGGTGATCCCAAAAGAAAGTGATGCCCTACTTCTAGTGCCACATTCACATTCCAGGCAGAGATGAACTATGGACAAAAAGGGGGATAGCAAATGGGTCTACCTCCTTTCAAGGAAATGGTGTTGGAAGCCTGCCTATTTATATATCTGATTGGCCAGAAGTGCAGGACACAGTCTCTCCAGACTGTAAGGGAGCCTGAGAAATGAAGCTGTTTTAGCCGGACACATCGCCAAGCCCAGCCTGTGCGGCCAGATGGTCTGGGCTTAGAACCTTGCTCCTTTATGTCACTGTGTGACATGGTCGTTACCAACGTACTCTGTGCCTCAATTTTCTCACCTGCAAACTAACTATGGTAATAGTACAGGGATCTCGTGAGGATCGGATGAGTTAATACGAGTGAAGAGCTTAGAATAGTTCCTAATACACAGCAAGCACTGTACCACTGTGTTCTTCTCACTTTTATTACTGAGGAAAAGAGGAATGGATATTGGATAAGCAACTAGCAGCATCTGCCACAGGTATGTTGCCCACTGTATGACTGTACCTGCCCTGGTTACTGTGCCACACGTGAGCAAGTGCCCTGCTGTATTGGAGTACTTACTGGCTCCCCAGGAGACAGGGAAACCATAACCCTACTGATATGGTTTGGCTGTGCTCCAACCCAAATCCCATCTTGAACTGTAGCTCCCACAACTCCCACGTTATGGGAGGGACCTGGAGGGGAGGTAACTGAATCATGGGAGCGGGTCTTTCCCGTGTTCTCATGATAGTGAATAAGTCTCATGAGCTCTGACAGTTTTATAAGGGGCTTCCATTTTTGCTTGGCTCTCATTTGTCTCTTGCCTGCCAGCATGTAAGGCATCCCTCTGCTCCTCCTTCATCCTCTGCCATGACTGTAAGGCCTCCCCAGCCATTGGAACTGTGAGTCCACTAAACCTCTTTCCTTTATAAGTTACCCAGTCTGGGGTTTGTCTTTATTAGCAGCATGAGAACAGACTATTACACCTACCCTACCAGAAGCGACCATTCCCACGACTGTCGGCTTCATCCCCTCTTACTGGGGACTGAGAACAACCAAAACTTTCAGGCAACCAAGCCAGGGCACCACTGTTAGCCACTGTGCCGATGCTCGTCCATTTTAGGCACAGATCATTAGGACTCTTTCAAGTGTCAGTAAACCCATTCAAGCTGGCTTAAGCAAAGCTGGGAATGGATTCCTCAAATAACTGAAGAGTCAATGGTATATGCATGACTCAGGCCAGGGCGTAAATGGCTGCACACAGCTGCTCTGTTGCTCAGCTGGAATCTCTTGGTGTCGGCTCCATCCTCAGGCCTCCAGCAGGTCATGGGTGTCTTTCATGCTTCATGATCATCCTCCCTATGTCTTGGTAATTCTTCCCGTTTGACTCCTAACTCCCCAAAGTAGAAACAAGAAAATTGCTTTTCCAGTTTCTTTGGTAGCAAGAGCACAGGCAGGTAAACTAAGCTCTGCCAGCAACTTCAATGCAGAAGAGGGTAACCTGAAGACGTGGAGGGCTCCCAAAAGCCATCTTCTGCCAAGGTTAGTGGCAGAGGTGTCCAGTTTCCAGAGACAGCAGTGGTCATGATTCTGGGCTCCAACGCTGGTTTGAGTTACTAAATCTGTACTCAGAGGAGACAGCAGTGTGCTCTGTGCTAGCGAGGTCCCTTAGTGAGATCTGGACATCATTCCTAGCTTTGGAGTCACCAAGGCCTTCTTGGAGATCCTGTGGGCCACCTGATGTCCTTTAATCAACTCCTTATCCTCTAAAACTAGTGGTGGGAGCGTTGAAGCCACTTAGGTGGTGTTATGCTTTGGTAACAACCCCAAACGTTAGTGGCTTACAATGACAAAGGTTTGTTTTGCACTTCAGTTCCACGGCCGGTGCAGGTGGGCTGCGGTTCTGTAACACAGAGCCTTCCCTCTGAAACTCAGACCAGCCTGTCTCTGGGGCATTGCTGTTCTTCTCTCAGCAAAGGGGAAAGACAGAAGCAGCCATCACACTGGCTCTTACATTTTTGCTTGGAAGTGATACACATCACTTCTGCTCACATTCAATTGGGCAAAGCAAGTCACCTGGGCAAGTCTATCAGTGAGGCCATGATGTCAAAATCCTACATGGGGAAGACAAGTGAATATTTTGAACAAGAGGGTTCTGTTGTATGCAACCAAGAGCCCTGTCTAATATAATGCAATAGGAAGGTGGCAGCAGAACTGCCAGCCTCTAGATCATCTCACGGTCAAGTCAGGTGAATTAGGACACATCTCTGCTCAAGAAGTCAAGCAAAAACCCAGGATTAGCTTTGACTGGAACTCATCACCCTAGCTTGAGTCACCCTCAACACTGACACATTTTTTTTTCAAGACATATTCACTGAGCACTTACTATGTGCTGGAAACTATTTAGGCTCTGTGTACTATAGCAGAGAATGAAGCCAAATCCATGCCCTCATGGAACTTTCATTCCAGTCAAGGATGGTGGGGACAGACAATCAACAAAATAAATTAGTAAATATGTACAAATTAATTGCTGCAAGAAAAATAAGCAGGTAAGGGGGACAGTGAGTCTCTAGCATCAATGGAAAAGAATAGTAGCAATTTTCTTTTTCTTTTTTTGAAACACAGTCACTCCGCCACCCAGGCTAGAGTGCAGTGGCGTGATCTCGGCTCACTGCAACCTCTGCTTCCTAGGTACAAGTAATTCTCCTGCCTCAGCCTTCCAAGTAGCTGGGATTACAGGTATACACCACCACACCCAGCTTATTTTTGTGTTTTCAGTAGAGATGGGGGTTTCACCATATTGGCCAGGCTGGTCTCAAACTCCTGACCTCGTGATCCAACCACCTCAGCCTCCCAAAGTGCTGGCATTACAGGCGTGAGCCACCGTGCCTGGCCAGCAATTTTCAATAGGCAGTCAGGAAAGGCCTCACTGAGAAGATATTTGGGTATGACCTGAGCAAGGTGAGAGAATAAGCAACAGTGTGATCTAAGGAAAGAGTATTCAAGGCTGAGAGCAGCA